TATACAGATTTATACTGATAGTCAAGCTACCATTCATGGCTTTCACTCTCACATTACTCAACAATCATTTTCTACAAGAACTAAAGAAAAATCAGCCAACTACACATTATGGTATCTCATTCAATATATAATGGAATCTTCTAAACTCCAAGTTAATCTTCACAAAGTTAAAGCTCATAATAGTGACTTCTCTAATGATATAGCTAACTCACTAGCTAAAGCTGATTGTGATTTTCCTTCTTTATCTCCTTCCCTTGTTCATACTCCTAGATTATCTCTGATTTTTGCTTTCAATAATATTCCCATTGAATCTTCTATTCGTCAATTTTTCAAGAATCTTTCCTCAGCTTCCAACTTCTTAGCTTTTTTAGATCTTAATAGAAATGATCACATTAATACTTATAGTGATTTTCACTGGCCTCTTATTTGGCAATTTTTCACCCTTAACTCCTATTCCTTATCAACATCCTTTGAAACTTTGCAACTCAAATCCTTTATTATCAAAATTTTTGTTAATGAACTTCCTACTCTTTCTCAATTAGAACAATTAAGACCTGATCTCTATAAAATTGGTGTTTGTGTTGGTTGCAATATTACCACTGAAACTTCTACTCATATGTGGTCTTGCTCAGCCTACTCTACAATTATCAATAATATCATCTCACAAACCAAAGATCTTTTATTAACTGATTTAAAAAAACACTCCAACCCTAACTCATATTATGATGCTTTACCTGAATTACTCTGTTCCTATGATGAACTCTTTGCATTCCCTTCTTTCTCAACAGATGGATTTCTAAACGTCATCTGATGCTAACTTCCCAGTGAATTCATTTCACTTATTTACAAAATTACAAAGAATAAGAATAGTTGCTATACAACTATAATAAACTCCTTAATCTTCTTCTTTAAAAATCTATACGATAATATATAGAAATACAGATGCAAACTTCTCATTGCTTATGAACTTTTAAAAGGCATTAATAAACAAATTAAACATAAGCAAGATGCTTGCAAATATTTACCGCATTCCCTTAAAAAACCTTCATCCCTAATTTGGGAATCATGAATTCATAAGGTAAACAAATATGATAACTCTTGGACAGATTTTTAGATAGGCACTGACTCTCTTCTTTTTCTTTTTCTGGTGATAACAGTAGTCATTAAATATGCATTTAGTGGGTCTATTGGAGGGAAAAGATGATGATAGATCGATTCAAACAGGTTTGTAATATAACTACAGGGGATAGCTAGTATTTTAAAATTAGTTTTTTGTTTCTACTTTTATATTTACTACTTGTAAAAATTAAATAAAGTTATTGGCAGTGCCATATTGTTAAAAAAAAAAAAAAAAAAAAAAAATGATTTTGATCATTTCGACCATTTTGAATATCTGAAATAATCTATTTTGACTTTATGTATAATTGGAATACTTTTTTGCATTGCACTTTTGCCATGCCTCTATTTTCTTTTGCAAGTTTAGTGAAGTGTCAAACCTTAGGCAGATTGCAGAAGATCATCTTTCGGCCTAGTGAGATTAAATATAATAATTTTTTTTTGAAAATAGCTATTAATGACCATTGAAGCATTTTTTATATCATCAGTATATCGCCTAATAATCTTGGAAATATCTTCATGCGAGCTACCAGAAATACAGATTACTATGTATGAGGCATTTTCACGGATAATAATTGATGTATAATGGTAATATTATATTATATACAGTATATGCTTGAAATGTTTCTATGACGTTCATGAGTAAAGAAAAGGATGATTTGATTTTGTATATATTCTGGAACAACACACAAGTCTTTAAAAATAATGATAGTGCTTCTTTCTAGTGAAAATGATTTCACACTTGAAATCCTTTTGGAAGAAATATAGCTAAAAGTGATATTTTCATAGTAAGGTACTTTCGGATCTTTTGAAATTACAGTATATCATACATATATCTTACAAATGCCCACTTCAGCTCATCAGGATAGTAATCGCAAACTATCAAATTATCATATGCAATATATCTAGACCCATCTTTTTTATTTTCATATATGTATTCAGCTTTATTGCTAAGAAAAAGATTTGCCAAGATATTAGTTTTACCTGATCCACTCTTTTCAGTGACTGGCATACTGAAAGGCCATGATGAAATTGTGGATAAGATTGGATTTGGGATGATTCGTGCTTTGTGTTTCATCCATATCTATAAGGTAAAGTTTCATAGAGGATAGTTCTGTCTTTTGGTTCTTCTGCATATTGGATTGAAAATCCATAACTATGATTTTTATTTAAGGATATTTTATAATTCAAAAGATTTTTTTCTTTATTGAGAAGTGAATTAAAAGAATATAGATAAGAGGATATGACCATAGGAAGTATATAATTAGTAATAGTATTATAAAAAAGAATGCAAGCTGAAAAAAGAAGGAATTAGATGATACTGAGGTTATTTCAGAACTAGTGATTTTATTACCTTTCTCCAGTCCTTAATTACTTTTAATCACTTTATTTTGCTTAGATTTGCTAGATGTTTTCCAAATCTGCTCTAATAAAAGAGTATTAGTTTCTTGAATAATGGAATTTTTCTCTATCAATGCCTTTTGCACTGAAAGTAAATCATCTCTTATATGCATTAATTCATCTTTTTTTTTGGTTAGTCTATTTTCTAATTCCATTTTCACCAAATCTAGATCAATATTTTCATTAGTTAGTTTTACATTTATCTCTTTGGATTTACGTTTAAGATAATCTATTTCTAATAATCTCTTCTGTACTAAAGAAATATCTAGCTCTAATTTCTCTACTCTTGAATAAAAAACCTGTATTTCTTTCAATTTTGCATCAACCTCACTCTTAACATTAGTAAGAGAAATATTTTTCTGAGTAATCTGATTTTTGAGTTCTCTTACCTCATCTTTAAGCTGGCATACATGCTCTAAAAAACTTTTGTTATTTTTTATCAAGAGACTGTTTCTAATACTAAGCTGAATACCTGAGCTTAAAGTGATATTTAGATCATATTTTACATAAGCAAATTAGTTCTCAAGCTCAATTCGACTAAATAGATATTAATTAAATAGCGAATCTCCAAGTTTATTGTCAGATATTAAGGGTGTCCCATTATTTATCTCATTTAGCGTATCTATATTTGCCATATGAATTTATTTAAAGGCAAAGTTTTTTATGATTTTTTTCTAAGACATATCCTTAAAATATCATTCATATGTATATTTTTTTCTTCAAATATGGAAAAAAAGAGTTCAGAATCAATCCAATATTAAACCAATAAAAGACCAATAACAAACTAGTTTAAAACAAATATGATATTTGAAACATATATATCTTAAACCTATTTTTTATTTGAATCATGACTATAGTATGCTACACTGTAAAGAAAGTGAACTTCCTATATGCATCAAACTAATGTCAAACCAATGCCAGGCTAATATCAAATAGATTGCGAATAAATTTTTACAAGTTTTTTATTAGTATTATACAGATTTATTATTAGCAAACTATGAGCAAAAACAAATAACCTATACTCGTAAATTTCTTAGATCAGATGTCAGACGTTTGTCACCTGAAGCTATCGAAGAAATTAGAAATACTTAGAATAATATTCCAGATACTCAGCATATTATGTGTAAAAAACATTGTATAGGATCAATATATCAAAAAATAATTGATAATCAGAGGCCTTTTGAAACTACTAAAGAATAGCATAAAATTATAGAATCTGTTAACATCTCTGACCAGATTTTAGAAAATAATCAGAAATCTTCACACAATAATTCCTTTTCTACTAACATACAAGAAAATGGAAATATTCATACGAAGCATTATGCAGATGATAAGAATAGTCCAAATTTATATATAAATTCTAATAGTTTGAATACAATAACTAATGGGTGAAAAGATAAAGTTAGTCAAAAAAAAAGGCTAGTATAAAGCCAAAAGACAAATCTTCTTCTTCAGTAACTTTAGTGAAAAAAAATGAAAACAAAGTGTTAATTCTTTTAAAGATAATATATCTAGACGGGAATCTGATCTTAAAAAATTAATAAATATTACTAAAGAATCTGTCATGCATCTGATCTTTCTCCATAAGTTGAGAGCATCTTTCTGTAAAAATTTTACCTGTATTTAACACTATATCAAGCCATCTCTCAGTTTTTAAAAGGCATTTTTTAAGTTCTTCGCATTTTTTAAGTCATTATTAGTTAGGCTAGAGGAATCAGTAGATACTTAAACTGAATCATACTCCTCTTTTGGTGGATCATTTACTTCTGGCGTCTTGCTAAAAGTTGGGATAATATATGTCTTTCCATGATTCTCTATACGAAACTGATTTTTAGTTAGATTAGGAATACCTTTGACTTTTCGAATTCCCATTGTATCTAACTATAGCATTGACTTAGGCTCACCATTATCAACACAAACATAATTTCTAACTATAGTGATGATTGGATTCCTTTTCATATTCTTTAAAGTGATTGCTACATTCGTATACCATCCTAATACTTTAGAAATATGTTCAGAATTACCTTTTATAGTGAATTTGGAAAGCTTATCAACTTTCCATTCAAGCGTTTTAGCAGTAGCTAAATTAAATCTATCAAACTCACTTCTATTATCTAAAAAAGATTTAAAGATTAATAAGTCATTTATACTAGCATTTAAGTATTGTAAAAATGAAAATCACTCATCTTTCTTTAACTTCTTCTTCTAGATCTTCGAAATAGACACATTTTATGCATTACTGGTGAAAGCTTTGGCAATAGCTCGTCATATATTTCAGGCTAGCTGGATTTTAAGGATAACTTTTCATTTACTGATATATGTTTTTTTTACTGATGTATCATACCATCCACTATTTTCCTCATCATAACTATCTTCTTCATTATCTGAATCTAGAGATATGTATTGGGACTGCGTAGATGAAAGTTAAGGATAGTAATATGTAATATTCAATTTAGTTATAGGATTTGCCAAAGATGCAAAAGCTAAGTTAGGACAATTATTTTTCTTATAACCTTCCTATTCACAATTGCTGCAATAAAAAGGTTTTCAAGATTGTTCATTAAGTGATATCCTATTAAGCTTAGATATTATTTGACCAATTTCATCAATCTTTTCTGGCTTTTGCGATTTAGGAGGTGATCCATAAGCTTTTGTAACCTCTCTCATTATTTCTTCCTTAGTAAGTGTATCGAAGAAAGGATTAGCACTTTCATATGTATTACTAATCTTTTTCATATTTTTAGGAGAAACTAGTAGAGGTATCATTTTAGTTTGCTAGGTCATTTTGATTGATAATTGGCTTTTTGTTTTTCTAATAAAGACTGGTATTCAGTTTTTGCTATGCCAATACGTTTTGAATTGCTTTTTGTATATCTTCTAAAGATATTCCATGCTGTTGCAGTGAAGGTTCATATATTTGCTGAGATTCTCAATTAGATATTAGCGGATCAGATATATTATTTCCTTTATATCTAGCTATTTAGCGTAATCCAATCTCATAAAGCTTTTTAGCTAATTCATCTAATGGTAATATCCTCAGCTTTTTCAAGCCATAGGAGTAAAAGAGCATCTAAGAACTTCCTACATAATTTTTTAGGCATATAGTTAGCTCATCTACTTATTTGTAATATTTTTCTATATAATTCATCTATAGTTATGTCTTTTTTTCTAATTGTCCTATATATCAAATCCTGAAATTCCTCTTTTACTGTAAGAAAATGAGTTTTTAACTACCATATAGCTTAACCAAAATGAATACCAGCTACAACTACTGTAGTTCTATTACCTGCATTTGGTACATTTACTAGAAGTTTAGTAAGACAACCTCCTGTTATGCATCAGTTCTCATCCCATAGAATTTCTACAGCTCTTAATTTTACTATTGCATTTCTAGGTTGTCCAATCATCTCATTTAAAACATCAACACCTATCTGAAGAGCTATATGCCTATTTACAGCTACTAAATTACCTTGTCCTATACCATCAGTCAGATTAGTTAATTTTTAATTTTGCTTTGTAGTAATCTCATCATCGAACTATTCTAAAGTTCTTTCTCTCATACAATCTCTTAAATATCCTATTGCCTAATCTCTTCCTATTGGTGGACCTCCTGCATTATCTGCTAGATCTATACCTTAGTTCTGCAAGTACAATCTAAGTTTTGCAAGAAAATCTAAGATATCATCATCCAGTCAAAAAATGGTTACGGTATTCCTACCATATTTACTTGATTAGGTGAATTATTCTGTAACGCTAAAATTTGTCCCTGCAAATTTAAAATATTCTGGCGAGAGTTTTTTCTTTAGCCTTTCATTTCTCATATCACTTATAGAGCCTATCTCGATTATATTCTAATAGACCTATATCTCCTCTACAATGCTGTAGGTGATAGGTATTTCACTGATACAATAATTGTAAGGCAAATTTTCTTATATCAGTTCACTTATATGGGTTTGCTTTCTTACTATATTACCTATCATTCTATTTACCTGGTTTTCAGTATTAGTTTGATATTGATAGAGATCACCAACAACTGACAACTGTTGGCATCCCTCCTTCAGCAAGTTGCCTTCATATTATTTCATTATCTCACTCAACTTCAGTATTATAACGCCTTCTTTGCTCCAGAATTATATCCTGACATAAATTATTTTCTTTTCGGTGAATTTGTCTTATCGTTCTTTTTATTTAGTCTGATATGATATCTATATGTAATGTTCTATTATCCACAAAACTATCTATAGCATTTGCTAGCTCTATGATTGTTGCCATATTATCATCAGAATTATATTGATCAGAAGTATTTCTCCTTACTGATGAATTTTTTTTGATGAGATAACCTTGATCTGACATCACAATTTTTCTACCTATTCTTCAGATTTTACTAATCGCTCTTCTAAGGTAGAGATATATTTATCCTTATTTCACACATCTTTTCTAGCTTGATATAGCTGACTTTTTAGATTGAAGATTTCAGATTTCAACTCTACTATCTTCTCTTCTGAAGTATTTTCAAAGCGTTCTATCTCCTTATTGAGATTTTAGATTTCCTGCTCACATTGGGTATAATCTCACTCCAGTTGATTAATTTGTCTTTCATTCTAATGATTAATATCAACTTCTATTTGTAATTCATTATGAAAATAGTAGTTCTTCTCCTCCAGCTCAGCTTTATATTCTTCGCATGTTCTTCTTTATTTTGAATAAGGTCTATGAAATAACATTTTTTTTTGTATTTATAAAAAAAATGGGAGAATCTTTGATTTATATAGTTTCTCAAAAAGTTCGTGATCTTGATCAGGATCTTACTTTACAAAAGTATAAGGAAAAAAATACTTTTAACTAATGAGAAGAATCTGACTTTATAGATATCAGCTTTTTTTCTGCAACTGCATCTTCAGATCCTCATTTTCACATTGCAATTTCTTATTTGCACTAATTTGCTCTCTATATTCCCTTTCTATGTTTTGCATAAATTTTTTGAAAGTTCTTTTATTATAATTAGCGAAACACTTTAAGTTCATTCATAATCTGGCAATTATTCTCTTCTTTATGATCACAAGTGATATTATCATTTTGGACTCTATTATTTATAACAACTGATAATTCTTTGAATGAAAAAGATGTCGAATACTTTGGCCAATTTTGAGTTTGTCTCTGACACATTAATCTCTTTTAGTATCTAATAGTTTCATGTTTTAAAAATGATTCTACAATTGGATTAATTTCGCTAGCCTCTTTCCCAGATAATGGTTTGCACTTTTGTGATATAAGACGTACCTATGCCTCATTTATTAGAGAAGCTGGTAATTTTGCTAACAAGTTAAAATATGCCTGATTAAATGTCATTATATATTTATATATTGCGCAAAAAAAATGAAATTTCATGGAATTTCAAAAAATAAACCATTATATTAATACCATTACTTGAGAAATCTACTACTAAAATATTCATACATCAATATCGTGAGAGATTTGTTAGTAATACAACTCTGATCAAATCACGTGCGTGTTATAATTTGTAATACTAATCACTTTTGCCAGTATTAATACAGAATTACATTTTTCATGATACAGATAATAAATTTTTATTAATTCATGTGATACTAGAAATACATTACATTCTGATCAACTTCAGATATGCAATGATTTTTTCTAAATCATAGTTTTATGCAAAAATTCACGTATTTTCTGAAACTGTGCAATTCTGCAAATTTGCCAAGAAAGTTTTTATTGTCCGGTGATATCCACACACATAAAAAAAATATTAATGTGAAAATCAACTACTAGGATCACTTTATTAAAACAATAATACAAATAACAATTAGATTATTTTTTTTCGAATTTTATAGACTTTCTTTTTTTCATTTTTGGTGGTGATAATGATCTTGGTGAAGAAGATACTGTAGAGCTATTTTCTGTATTACTACTTGAACTAATTGGAAACGTATTATATAGAAGAGATATATTGATATGCAAGATATTCTATAATTATAAGTATGTATTAGTTTTAAATGAGTGAAATAAATTTTGAATAAGAATTACATTTCACATACTCGTATTGTCAATAAAGTTTTAACAAATTTAAATACTGTATCCCCATCTGTTGGCTATATTGGAATTTTAACTGTACATAGATTATAGAAATGATGTATCTCATCCATATCTCGAATGAGGATATTTAGATGCATCTCAGTTCTGTAACTTGAATTCCAATAATATCAAATTCATTTTTATCTAGTTTACATCCTTTGTGAGTCTAATACATTCCATCGTTCATCTCTCTCCAAATTTTTACCTTATAATTTTCCCTTTTTTGTTTGTTACAAATGATATGGGAACTTTCGTAATAAATTAATTCATATATCCTTTTATTACAACTAGCAATGAACATAATATCTGATCATTTTCCAATTCCTTTTCAATCTTTGCTGGCTATACTTTGACACTAAGCTGTAGAAATATAACCAGATTTCCAATTGAAAGATCTTTTAATGATGCTCAAATTACCAGAACTATCACATTAGTCATATATGTTCTTTCATTTTGTGATTTAACCAACTTTGGAGTAAAGGCAGAATTTTTCCAAATATCTCTTCTATAAAGAATAATGTTAAACACAAATTTTCATCAAAAGAAATGACAAATATTATTATTATATTATGCTAATGCTCATTACTAAAATACTCACAAGATATCAAGTATACCTAATGTAACTTTTCCTAGATTTTCATTAGATTATTTCTAATTTTTATCATGTGAAAATCTATTATTTGAGACATCCGTAATACTATCAATGAAATTCAAATGAAGGAATCACAATTATCTTAACAAAGACTAGAGTAGATATTTTCATACACTCTGTCGGATCCTATAAATTCAAAATATTAATAAAATACTCTTTGCTGAAAGTGGACTATGACAATATAAAACACTTTTTGCTAAATTACTCACCATAAAAAAGTTATATGCATCTACTTTCAAAGTTCTCATTATTTTCGAATCTGCACAAATCACTTGATTAGTGAGAGGAACACATCATGATAAATCTGAAATATTATTTTTCTTTAAATATTTACGGAAATGGTAGGCATATGGAACCTTGCTATTTTTAAGATTAGTTTTTAACACACGCAGGTTCATCTATATTTCATTTTTGATGAGTGATTCTTCCTGTTTTGATTTTTTAATACTCTGAAGACTACTTATACCTTCGTATGTATCATTAAACTAGCGCAGAAGCCTTATATTAGTACTAATATAGTTAAACTTTTGATATTAGAATTATGTGCACATACCTATCAGCATATTTTATGTAAATTATCAATTATATATGGCCTGCATACAATTAACAAAGCACATGAATGCTATATTTTTTTTCCATAAACCAGAACTAAAATCCACCCCTGTGTGTCTAAGGAATTAATGCATCTGATAAAACCTATGCTTATATGACTATGGGTATTCATTTAATTTGGTTATAAAAATACCATTCTGCGTATCATCATTTGGGATTATAAATCTGATAAATAATAGTAATAATCACTAATATCAATGAGTTTGAGATATTTTTCTGAAGTCTGATTGTAATTCTTTTTCACTACTATAATTGCCTGATGAATTATTTCTCTTAACTCATCTTTTGAGCACCATGTATTATCTTCTATTAGTTGAAAAATAATAGAAAATACAGTAATATAATTTGAGGATAAATCAAGTAAAAAATTATAAATATT